TAGTGCAGCGATGGCCATTTACACATAAACACTAGTTTTTAAGTTTTCTATTACCAAAAAAACCGAACGAAGTCAAGTGGCCTGTGGGCCTATAGTGTAGTGGCCTGTGGGCCTATAGTGTAAGGCACAAATGCATTCAGGGGGTCGTGGGTTCGATGTCCATTTTTACCCTTGCCCTCACGTACGTGCCTGGACATTGTGGGGACTTCGTGGGGGAACATTTCTCATCCACGAATCCGTCATTTTTTATTTTTTATTTTTTATTTTCTGTTTTTCTCTTTACTACCTACCACTACTCCTAAGGCTATACAGGGGACCCCTGCAAGCATAGCTTTCTACCTCTCTTCGGTGAAGGTAGGTAGGTTACCTCTCTGGGTGGAGAGGGGTAAGGGCATGTTTGCCCCTTTGCCCTAGCGTTTTAGGGTGCAGGGTTGGGGCCGCCGGTGGGGGCCCGGCTAACACAAGGACCGAGCATTTTGCCAGTAGCTGTGCCTCCCTTTTCATCTTCCCCCACCCCCATCGAGTAACGGCAGCAGTGTCTAAAAAAGGCCAACACTCTCCCACACACCACATGCAACAAACCCAGACACACACTCACACCCGTGTTGGCTGAAGACCTTACGGATACCAACTGGGAGGATCCAACTGACTATCTCAGTTGGTTGGCACCAACTTGAAGAGTGCTACAGGCGGCAGGACGACGTCGGCCGGAGCTGGGGTGAGTTGTGTCGCTCTGTAACCTAACAGGCTGGGGGTGTGAGGCCAAGTAATGGGGGGGCCCATGTACAAAAGACCCCCCCCCACTAGACTTGCACATTTCGAAACTCACACCATGACACCAGCGCCACTTTGTCTTTTCTTGCCTATTTCAAACTAAAAGTGTGTCACAGCCACAGTTCCCTCCTCCGCCCCCCCCCAACAAAAACAAAAAGGTCACCCACATTCATGAATGTGCGCAGAATCTCAGATGGATTTCCCGTTGATGACTGAGTAAAGATATGGTGGTTGATTCCACCGCCTATGGGTGCGCAAGTGTTTGGTTCTCGTCCTAGTGGATGTGTTATACACCATGCATCTAACTCTCCAGAATCAACAGAAAGAAGCACTCGTCCAATTGTTATTTTCCTGTTCTTGTCCAGTGAACCAGAGATCCCAGAGCACTGACGACAATAGCAACGAAGCGTAAAACACGGTGATCCTCCCCTGAATAAAAGGTCATGGCATTGCTATAGAGTGAAGCTGAACACTGCATTCAATAACATCATGCTATAGAGTGCTGATAGAGGCCGTGCACGACCCAATTAGAAGAAGTAGAATTTTCCCTAACTGTTGATTACAGGACTGAACTCCCATGGCGTGAATGTGAGGTGACATATGGGGCCTGACAGATCAGTGATGCTGCAGGGATAGGAATGTACATAAAGTCCTGAGTTGAAGGAATATTGTCTTAGAATAGACTACGTGTACGCATTGCCGGTTGTACGTCTCCATTGGAATCACCTGAGATTGTTCGTGAGAAAATACATACTTTGCACACACACACACAGAAGACACACACACACACACACACACACACACACACACACACACACACACACACACACACACACACACACAGAGAGAGAGAGAGAGAGATCTGAAAGGAAGCATTACAATGTTAGGGCTTATGAAGAAGCCGAGTAATGGACGCCAGTTAGGCACAGAAGGTGAAAAGTTTTCTGGTTGGAAATCGACAGGAAAGAAACTTGTGAACGTGGCATAAAATGTTCCATGATTATAACCTCCCTCATTTTCTCAAAAGCAGGCACCCCAAATTTTTGTAGCACTGATAGGCACACAGGCTAATCGGGCAGCAATTTGCCAGCACGAGCAGTAGTTCCAGTACGCGGGTTTGTTTATGTTTTTTTTTTCCGGACACCTTGTCTTTTTTTTTTTTTTTTTTTGAGAGGAGCCTTTTTTGCAGGCCCACCACCCCAAGGGTGGTGAGAGAACCGCCGGAATTGAGGGCTCTGCTGTCAGGCTGCTCCGCCTATTTGTGGGGAGCGACACCTGCGTGAAACCGGGTCCACCATCCCTTAAATACATCATCCCAATATATTTGTTCACTTCCATCGGTTCTTGATGCTGTGGCCTTTACTTTGTCTGTCCTGAAGCTCCCTACTTTCCCATAAGGCTGCAGGTATTACCCTTCCTATCTTACAGATCTCACTTTTTTTTTTTTTTTTTTTTTTTTTGGTAGATCTCACTTTTCCACTGCCCGACTTCCTGGAACTGACAATCTTTTTTCCTTTTTCTTTTTTTCTTTTTTTTTTCTTTTTTTTTTTCCCTGCAAGACAGGTAGGAGTGTATGCTCTTACCATCACTCCTATCTGTTGTCGCGGGGGGAATTTTGTTGAAACACCTTTCCCATATGTCAGCCGCGGGCATCCAGTAGCCTACTCCTGAAAAATAGCCGCCATGCCGCCGTCGATATTTTTCATCGACAGCGCGTGGCGGCCGAATTTGAATTAGGGGCCCGCGACCCCACATATGAGAAAGGTAGTAGTGGTTAAAAAAAAAAAAAAAAAAAAAAAAAAGAAGAAGACAGTCTTTTCCTCTCTGTCCAGTACCCCCATTATTCCATTCAGACCATCCGCGTTCCAGGTATCTTGCAGATAGCAACTTTTGGACAACAAAAGACGACAGAGCTTGCTGCTCGCCCTTCCACTGTGTGTATGTACCCCTCCTTTCCATCCAGGCCTGTTCCCTACGCTGCCAATGCCTGACAATGTTCTGGATCCACCTGGTCGGCATTAGTAGGGTCTTTAGCCAACATGGGTGTGAGTGCGAGTGTGACTGGGTTGAGTGTGGTGTGTGGGAGAGTGTAGGCCTTGGACAGTGTTGTTATTCAATCGGGGTGGAGGAAGATGAAAAGGGAGGCGCAGCTACTGGCAAAATGCTCGGTCTTTGTGTTTGTCGGGTCCCCACCTGCAGCCCAAACCCTGCACCCTAAACCACTACCTTCTTCCCCCAAACATAACGCATATGCATTGTATTTGAGTTTCAAAATTAGACCCAAAAAAAAAAAAAAAAAAAACGCACATTCTATTCAAAATTTAGGGTTATTCAAATATAACGCATATGCGCTGTATTCGAGTAGAACGCACCCTATGTGTTGTATTCTCTTGCAACGCATATGCGTTATGTTCGGGGGACCCCTGGCTGGTATCCCCGAGCAAGCGAATACAAAGCATAGGGTGCGATAGCAGCCAGGGGGCCTCCGTATAGGCTTAGGAGTAGCCGGCCAGGGGTCAGCCGGTAGCATCAGGACTGAGCTTCTTCGATGTATCAGCCAGTAAATTCTCATTGCCCTCTCCAAAAGGGGGGGAGGGAGAGGGGGGGCCAGGAATCATTTTCCCTCGAGCAAGATGGGTTTCACAGAGATGCAGAAGAGCATACCAATTGCGATTTTCTGCACCTCTATACATGAACACATCCAGATTCAGGCGTTCAATCCAAACCTCTTTGCTACCTTCTTCGCCCGAATACAACATACAGTCATTATTGCTGTTCGTAGACTGAAAGATATCCCAAATGCAGCTATATTGACCGTCCATTGTATTCTGGTGAAGAAGGTAGTGGGACCTCACCCCTGGAAAACATTGGAAACAAAAAAGGGGAAACTACGTGGGAGTCACAAAAGTGAGTTATAATTGCACTATGGGCCAAGATACAGTTTCAAATTGCAGTTCGGGACAAAAAAAATATCCGTGGGGCTGATATGATGTGCGATATCTGGGGTTATACAAGCATGGCCTGATATCCCATCTCGTCAACGACAAGTACTTCCGAGGCACTTTTCTCCAGGGCTGGAAGCGCGCTGCACTGTAACAAAAACTGCACGGTAAGAAAAACTGCACGGTAAAAAAAACTCCACGGAACC